AAACAGCGTCACGCTGATGAGGTCGTGCGTGGAGTAAACCTCATTTGGCATTGAACGCCGGGCAGATGTTTTGACCCATCATGTGAGTCCAGTTGCACCTGCCGTCGCCTACCTGTGCGTTCCTGTCCCCGGCGACGATGGAAGAAAACCAAGAGATGCGTACAAATACGCGCAGAACTCATCTTTCCTTTGATAGTCACAACATTACTTGGGACGTACACAATCACTGTGCTCATCTTCACGTGCTTTGCTGCAGGACGGTCGTGTGATAAAAAAACCGAAACTTTCGCTCCTCGTGGCGACAGCAGAACTGCGATTGGAAAAGAAAAAGGAAACCTGCAACCGGTGGGATGTCGGTCATCCTTACAACATTTAAATAATGGGGTTAATTCTGGCACCCTTTTCATTAAGTTAATGGCGCTGACTTCCATTTTCATTTCATCAGTCAGAGGTGCCATATTTGTGAAATGTACACTTTTATATTATCCCGTTCCCTTCCCCCTCATGCATCAGGGCTGCACCCAAGAGACGGTAACGACAGACTGAGGCTCGAACATACGACCTTTTAGTTCTGAGTCCAACGCTCTACTATCGGAGCAATCCCGGTTTGAAGCAACGTGTGTTAAATTCATTATTGAAAGCAATTCGTGGTACAGACAAAGATTGCCTGCCATGGAATGGAACTAGGCACTTCCGGAGTACGCCTTTATGTTCGTGATTCGCGTATGGAATCCTGATTTTCAGACCCGCGAGGCTAACATCTGCTTTCCTAGCGAATTTCTCCCTGGTCAGTGAAGCGCGTTTCTGAGAGCGTAAGGAGATTGAGTGGCGTGGAGGAGGCTGCTCTGCTGTTCGGATGACGTCAGCCAGCTTGTTGCCTCTGCTTAACGTTCTCACGTTTCAACAGATGATACGGAACTTCACTTTGCTGATGCTGATTTGCTGGCTGTCAAACTTGTTGGTGTCATATGATTGTACCTTTGGACGTACATCATGTATAATTGAGTCACGTAGGAGAGTAAAAAAAGCGCAACCTCTCCCGGCGCCATATAACCAAACAGTTTAAAAATTTAGTAGAGGTACAATTTTTTCCGACTTAGAAGATATGACTTCAATTCTTACGGATAGTCACCGAGTATAGGTTTGAATGTTTTAAGCTACTTGGACAACCAGCATCTTCTATTAAGATAAGTTATAGTATAGTTTCGACATGTAAAGCAGCGAAACGTAATAAAGGGAATTTTCAATTTTACCGTTATCCTTAAGCAAGGCAGTCACTTTTTCTCGCAACTCGCTAACTGATGCAGTGGCAACGCAGATGTTCTTTATTTGTTCATTCATGATATTCATCTGGTCCTTCTTGATAAGATCGAGTTTCTTGCGGCGCTCAACGTCCTTGCTGAGTAGCTCTTTCTCGCTTTCCAGTTCACTGATGCGTGCAATAAACCGGTGAATGTCCTTCTCCATCTGATTGGCGCGTTCCGTTACTCTGGCGATGTCTTGAGATGCACCCTTTCCGTACTTACCAAACATTGATTTTTTAGTCTCGTCAGATAGCCTATTGACGTTCCAAATTACAACAATAAATGTCTCTAAATAATAGGGTACCTCTCATTTTCTGCTTCAAGAAATGCGATGCGCTGATGCAGCACCTTCGCCTCCTCTTCGACTATTTGCAGCTTACGCGATTCATCGATCTGGTTGCTGCTTGTGCTAGTGTTCGACGCCCTTTCGGTCAAATCGTCCTGAAATTGAGACGACGAAATAGTATCGAACGTCTGATCGGCCTCTGCTTTGTAGCTGTCCAACTTTGCCCGAAGTTCTTCAACTTCTTCTTCAAGTATTTTCGCCTTTTGTTTATAATAAATGTCTGGAACGGCGGACAGAATCTCATCGTCGCTAAAGTCTGTCTTTCCGCCAATCTTCTTCAGTTCTTTTTGTAACAGGAACAGCTTTGCAACGATCTTTTCGTTCTCCCTTTCGGTCTTTGTTAGTCTGCTTTTCAAAACTTGGGCCTCGTGCTCTGCCAGTTCCAGCTCAACTTTCGCATGTCCTTCGCTGTAGCTACGAAGCATGGGCGGCTTACCGTCCCGCTTTATATTCTGGGAAGTCATTTTGGCCAGCTGTCGCATCAAACTTTCGTTTTCTGTTTCTAAATCGCCCAGTTTACGGCGAATGTCCCGAATGTCATCTTCAGCAAATTTCAACTGGTCTTTCAAATCAGTTTCACGTTCCAGCGCATCCTGCAGATCCCTCAGAGCGTGAGACGTAGTAATGTCCTGTCCTGTAGATTCAGAGGTTCCAGCTCTTGCCTCGTGAAGCTTGGAATTAGATCCAAACGTCCTTCTCTAAAAGATGATGATAATGCTAAAAGCCAAGTCATCATTGTTATTGCAGTAGCTTACCCTGGACTGCTCAAGAAGCTTTTCGCGAGCTTCTAATTCACGGATTCGTTCTTTGAGATAGAAGTTTTCGTCTTCCAGCTTACACCTCTTCTCGTCCATCATTTCAAGTTCGTTGTGTAGACGGACTGAAACTTCCTTGGCTATACGCAACTCCGCTTCCAACTCTCGACGTCTCGGCGTTTCGGTTGGATCAACACCGCCGATATTGGCGAGTAACTCTTGAATTTTTTCTTCAAGATGCTGCCTGTCAGCTTCCGTTTGATCGTTCCTGCGTTCAGCTTTGCGAAGCTTGAACTGCAAGATTCGGCAGTTTTTTGCAGTCTGCTCAAGTTCTCGCTGCAACTCTCGAAATTCTTCAATTTCGTCCTCACGGTACTGATCATGCATCTCGGCGATTTCGTTCTGCAGATCCTTCACTTC